CACCCATAGTTACAGCTTTGTTACTAGAGCTACTACTACTAAAATTACATTCCATGTATTCAATTTTAGATTTAATCAAACGAAGATCTTTGGACTCCAATGTAGACATCTATAATTCAAGTTTTTCCTAAACTCTTTCTCTAGTCTAATCCACAAGAATGATATCATCAACGAAAAGCATATACCAAGGTACATCCTCTTGTAAATGTCCAATAAGTGCATCCATTACTAAAGCAAAAAGATATGAGCTTAAAATTGATCCCTGATGTAATCCAACTGAAATAGGAAAATATTTGGTCAATCATCATTTTGTTTGAACACAAGTAACAGCTCTAGTATGCATGTTTTTAATGACTTGAATATAATTCAAATCAATACATTTTATTCTAGAACTCTCCAAAAGACTTTTCTTGAAACCTTACCGTAAGCTGTTTTCTAAATCAATAAAAATTATATATAGAACCTTCCATCAAACCTCTCATTAAATTTATAGCTTCCATAGTAGACTTGTACGACAAATCCAAACTGATTATGAGAACTTTGTATCACGTTTTAAACTATGTTCAATTACCCTCTCCCATAAATTTAAAGTATGACATATTATCAACTTAATTCCTCTATTAATTCCTCTATAATTAGCACACTCTTGCGCATTCCCTTCATTCTTAAAAATGAAGACCAAAATCTTTTTCTCCACTCCTCAGGCATCTTTTTAGTTTTTAAAATAATACTAAAGAGTTTGGTAATCCAAGAAACTCTCGAATTCCTAAATATTTCCACACTTCAAAGGGGATGTCATCGAGTCCCACTGATTGTCCACCATTGATTCTCTTTAAAGCCTCCTCATCTTCTTTTTTAATAAAGCGACGGTAATAATAAAATATTTTATTATTGATAAGAATATTAATATCACTAAGATCGATCATATTTTAAGAAATTTCATAAAAAGTTTATCAAAATAACTCACACACTTATGTTGAATATCTTCTTCTAAAAAAAACATTATTTGATTTTCATCTTTAATACAGTTTACTTGAGTCAAATCTTTATCTTTCTTTTATCTTTGTTTGGCTAGTTTATACATATATTTTTCACCCTCTTTAGTATCTAAACTATTATAAAAAACACTAAAAAGATAATTTTTAGCGTCACAAATTATTCTCTTAGACTCACTACAGGCCACCTTATATTTTTCTTAATTCTCCAAGCTTTAACATTTAAACCAATTTTTATAACATAACTTTTCACATTTTGTCTTTTCTTGCACATTATTATTCAACCACCAACTATTTTGATTTATATAATTTTTTTTCTTTCTGATTCTTCAAGTACATCTTTTTGTCACTTGTTTAATAGTGTTTTTTTTCACTTTATACAACAACAACAACAAAGCCTTAATCCCACTACGTGGGGTCGGCTACATGAATCCTTTTTCTCCATTGCGTCCTATTTAGTGTCATATTTTCATTTAGTTCTAGTAAATTAAGATCATTTTTAATACAATAAGCCCAAGTCTTCCTAGGTCTACCTCTGCCTTTCTTAACACAAGTCGAATCTAAAACATCTACTCTCCTAATCGGATCATCTAATGGTCGACGTTTAATATGACCAAACCATCTAAGACGACTTTCTCTAATTTTGTCTGTCACAGGAGCTACACCAACCCTATCACGAATATATTCATTCCGCATTTTGTCTCTAAGTGTAAAGCCACTCATCCACCTAATCATTCTCATCCCGGCAACACTTAACTTATTATTATGCTTCTCTTTTAAAGGCCAACATTCAACGCCATAGAGCATTGCAGGTCTCACCACCGTCTTATAAAATTTTCCTTTCAGTCTAAGCGGTACTTTTCTATCACACAAAAGGCCCGAAGCATTCCTCCACTTCAACCAACCAACTTGAATTCTACTATTAACATCCCCATCTATATCACCATCGCTTTGGACAAAGGGCCCAAGATATCTAAATCGTTCACACCTTTTAATAATTTGATCACCCAAAGTCACACTTCTGTCACTAGAGCTATTACTACTAAAATTACATTCCATGTATTCAATTTTAGTTCTACT